ATCAATTAAGTAAAATAACTGTTTATTTACATAAGATAAAACAAAAAATACAATAAGATAAGATCATATAAAATAACATACAATAAGATAAGATCATATAAAATAAGATACAGTAAGATAAGATAAAATAAAATAAAGAAGGATAAAATAAAATAAGAAACAATAACATAGCATAAGATAAATAAAAAACAATAACATAAGATAAAATAAAATAAGATACAATAACATAAGATACAATAAAATAAGATAAAATATGAATGCAAACTTTCCCATATTTGAGAAACAAAGCACACTCATGTTTACTTATTTACTTAAAAAGTCTGATACTTTAGTCTGCTTCATTTGGTTTCGAGCCTCTTTCCAAACAGAGAGCATTTTGCATATGCATCACAATTCCTGGAATAGCATGTGGGTTGTCACTTCATCCAGTATAAAACTTCTTTGAGGTCATCTTAAAAACAACTGTCATTTTCACTGGATAATTAAAATTGTGCCAAAAATGTGCAGGCATAATAGTACTCTAAACTTGCTGCAATTAACAACATGACATCTCTATTTCCTTCTGACACTGAGCAGTATCTTGATTTCACCCATAAAAAATTCTTGGGACTTCTTGCCCTCTCCACAAAGTTTCTTCTTTAATCACGTCATTTATGACCAGATGGATGGAGAATTCATGCTGGGTCCAATGATAGCCAATAGTGTTCTATGCTACCACAAATACAAGTGGCTAGAAAAATGCCCATGTGACTTTAAACCTGTCCTTTACAAATGCTTCATCAATGACACTTTCTTGCCATTTTGAAAATAGAGTCACATTTTCAAATTCTTTTTTTACCTTAATTCCCAACATTCCAATATCCAGTTCAGGTGTGAACTTGAATTTCACATCTCTGGGCTTTACACTCGACTTCCTGCTTTTTTCCCTTTACTTTGTAACAGAGTGTAATGACTTTAGCCTCTGAAGACAATGAGCTAAGCAGCAGATGATATCAAATTTTTGGGAGCCAAGGCACCACAGCGTTATATCCGAGAAAGCATTATAACTGATGGCATTATAATGAGGCAGTACAGTGTATATAATCCTCCTTCTTGAATGGACTATTTCACTATAGATAAATTCACATGTACACATGTTTACTAGGAATATCTCAAAACAAAATAGATCAAGCTATATTTTACTATATATTCTTAAAATTTTACTTGTAATAAATAAACAATATTTGTGCAAATTTTAAGCCCTAAAAATTTACTGCAGTTCATACTTTCAAATGTATTGCTATGGAGTAAAATACCATCCACTCACAGATGTATATTGAATAACAAAATGTATTGTGTGGAAAGAGAACAATATTCAAGAGTGAGGTTATAATGTGTACAAGCTGAGATTTTGAACCCAAAACATTATCCAAACAATGTCTTTAAAGAATATTGACTAAACACTTTTAATTCCTGTGCAATATAACAACTGATTTATCTTCTTTCCATTTTCTTGCCTTTTCAACAAATACTAGAAATTGACTGGCGAACAGGAAGAGTTATTACATTCTTTTAAATAAATTGTCAAAATACTGGCATCTTTTGTACAGAGAAAGAGTATTAATTAAGTTTAAAATAGATAATAAAACAGTCCAAATATACAGGGGGAGGGGCAAGAGGTCCAGACTTCATATCACAGTAAGATATTAGATAGAAATAGGAAGAAAACAGATATACACACAGTAGAAATGTTATATTCATTTGTTTTCAAATTTGTTTGGAAAGGGGTCTGAACAACCTTTAATGTGTGAAATGTTGAAGATAACCATAAAGGATCATTTCTTCCAAAATATTATGACTGATTTAAAACCCACCGCAGCTCTTTTCATCAGTTTGAATATCAAACGTTCCATCCCTCTTCCTAACCCTTCACTGATCAACATTTGATATAACTTGATTTTGGGGGTCACTTCAAGATCCTGATTCTAACAGGCAGCTTCACAAATGAATGAAAAGATGTTCTTGATGGTAGCAGAGGGTACTGGTCATTTGGATTTCTTATTGGTAACTTGCCAATGGAAGTGACTGGCAAAAATCAATGGAAAGTGACAGGAACTGGTCTTAGAAAGAAATGTCAAAAAGGCTTTGGCTTCTAATGGTAGGGCAAGCCCTCCCTCTTAGACTCAATGTTATCCATTCAGTTGGACCTCTCCCCTAATCAAAAATCCTAGATCTGCCCCAACTGTATTGACTTTACTGTGTATTTTTTCAAGCTCCTTTTGATGAAAAACACATTTTGGAAATATTAAAGGTTTATTTTTCAAAAACAAAGACAGGCAATTAAATTGGCCAGATAAAATCAAATGGATATGAAAAGTCATATACATTGAATTACCATTAAATAAGGAGCACATGAACTTTTCATTTTAGCCTATAACAATAACATGTATAACATTGATATATAAGCTACAGTTTATTGAATAAAAGAACATATACTTAACTGAAATTAATATATTTTCTTTTAACTTTTTTTCTGTACACTCACAAATCAAAATAAAAAAGCCACATTTTAATATTTTAAGAATGGACAAACCCACCTGAAACTTAGATTCAATGGGAAAGCAGAAAGACAACCCCCTGAAATTGAGTACAAATACTTGTTGCACTGAATCATACACTGAAAGAAAAAAAAAGACATTAGTATCTAATTTAACAAATATTCACAAATTATTGTGTCATTTTATCTTATTTGTAGTTAATGAATATTAATCAATTAAGAAATTTGAAAATAATATAATTTCCCAAATAGGGATTATCAATAGTTCAGTTATTTTATCAATAATGTTATACATAACTGAAGGACATATTTTTTAATGTTTACAAATCTCATGCTACATTAAAAAATTATTTTGTTTCATAAACTACACATTTTAAGACAAATTTGACCATACATCACATTCAGCTTCAAAGTTATGTCACAGTTGGAGTATGAGGTAGAGTTATTTTATTATATAGTAATGAGAAGAATTTAGTTCAGTCATAGCTTAGTCTTTAAAGGTTTTCACTTGGATTGTGCAATTGACAGATTATATCACTCAATTATGCAGTATACTCTCTCAAGAGAAAAGGTTAAAAATAGTAAAATATAACTATTTTGTTAACAGTTGCTTTTGGCATAGAGAGTAATAAGCTAACATGGTATTGGGAATTTTATAGTTGGCAGAAAGAGCAATAAGCTCACATGTTTTCAGTAATTTTATAGTTGGTAGGGAATTAAGTTTAAATGTTTTCAGGGTTTAGGTTGGGGTTTTTCTTGTACCAAAGCCACATCAGGCTATCTGCTGTGTCCACTGAGGGGAATCCATTCCCTGATTTTAGCAGTGTAAATCCAAAGACTTACCACTGTCCCAGTGGGGGACAAATGTTTTCAGTAATTTTATAATTGGCAAGAAAAGCAATAAGTTAACATGTTTTCAGTAATTTCATAGTTGGTAAGAACAGACATAACACATTTTCAGCAATTTTTTAGTTGGTAGAGAGAGTGATAAGAACTTGTTTTCAGTAATTTTATAGCTAGCAAAAAGAGCAATAAGCTAACTTGTTTTCAGAGCAATTTTATAGCTGGTAGGGAGAGTGATAAGCTAACGTGTTTTCAGTGACTTTAAAACTGGAAGGCCAGAAAAGCAATAAGCTTACATGTTTTCAGTAGTTTTATCACTAAAAGAAGCAATCCATATTCGTACTTACCTCCTGGATGTGTGGCTCCAAAGGAATGATCAATCTGTTCTATAGTAGGAGAAACTTCTGGAGAACAAAATGGGAGACCACTACAAATAATAAAATGCATATTACAATTTTTCATAAATGCTTCAGAACAGCAAAAGGAGATTTAACAACAAATAAATATCATACAAATAAGATTGTTAAAATAAATTCTGTTTATACGAGAAGCTTAGAAAAAAAAGAGGAAAAAAAAATCAAATAAAAGTATCAAATCCAAACTGATAATTATACTTTTTTTATGTCAATGTATAGCAATAGCTTTAACAAATGGCTCTACTTTTACAGTATAGCTTACAACATCATACATCAACTTATGTGACACTATTTGGGTGTATTTATTGGTATGCAAGCTGTAAGTCTAAAAGTTTAAGCTGAAGATCATAGGAATTTCACAGGATAAATCAATATTATATGTTATTATGGTGATAAATGAAAAGCAAAAATACTGCATTTCATGACAACATACAATGTACTTATCCTTTGCCCTTTTGTTTTTTTTAACAGAATGGGAATTTAGGAATACTACAGACCTCTCATTGATATTTATTTTTCATTTTAAAACTTGTTATGTACATTCTTATATCATTTTTAATTCATTATTTAGCATTAAATTAGTATTAATAAGCTGAATGTCAGGGGCTAATTGAATTGTATAATTGTGATAAGAGATTATGACTGACTTTCTTTAGAGTAATAATAACTGTACAATCAAAGATTAAATTTTGCTTGTTCTAAACAAAACACTAAAATATTTTTTCAATTACTTCCTAAACCTATTTGCAGACAATATCAAATTTATAAAATATTTATTCTCTAGAGTTTAAACATACTATAGGTGTTCTAATTCAAAAACTTAATAAAAATAAAACAGAAGAATAACCACAAAAAAAAACAAGTGGAGTATTTAATAAAAGTTACATACCAGTATTTTAACTTCACTTTTGTCATATTGTAAACCTCTATAATCTGAAAGAAGATAAGAAACTCCATATAACTGCAGAACGTTAAACAACATTTGGTGTGAGTTCTCACAAGATTCCCATGTCCTGATAAGCTAACCAAATTTTAACGCATATACTATTCTGATATTTATTTCTCATTTAAAGAACTAAGCATCTTTATGATGTGCTTTTCTATGTTTTATGATAAATAAATTCAGTCTTTTAACAAATATTCATTTTAGAAATAAGTCTAAATTCATTACTGGTAATCATATTTCAATGTACATGAAATAATTACTCCTCATTGTTTATGGCAAAATGTTTTTTTTTTTTTGAAAGGTATTGGAAAATAAATATTTTAAACTTGAGACATTAAAAAGTTTTAACAGTACAGCAAATCAATAAAAAAAATGTTTCATTCCTTTTTTTCAGGTACTGTATTGCAGCTTTACATGTTAATGAGCCAGTTTAAAATACAACTGTAGCAATTCTACAAATAAAAGGACACACAGAAACAGATATTATCAAAAGTCCACCAATAATAGAATAAATTAAACCAAACTTTGGTAATTTATCAAAAAAACCTAAGCCCATAATGAATAGCTGCTAACAATGTGAAATATTAGTGCAGTGAAAATTAAACCAAACTGTAAGTACATTCATTTCATTTTGTAAAAGCTAGTGAATTACAGTACATACAGAATATTTATAAAGAAAGTTAACAATGAAGTATTTTTCATTAAAAGTGTAAAACTAAAACAATTAATGATTTGGAAAAGATTACATTGAAAAGAATCGTACCATAAATAAAGATGATGGTGTTTTTTTTGTTGTTTTTTTACTAACAATTAAGTGGTCTTATGGTGATGTTAGGGGCAGATTTTCAGAGTTGTCATACATGTAATTACAAAAAATACTCTTTTGAGTTAAAATGATAGTATATATAGTATTGTTTACATTACTATTGGAATATTTTCATACATCAGAAAATGTTAAGGCTCAAAAAGTAAGGATTTGTTACAAGTTTTAATGTTGTGCAGTTTTTAAGCATGTTTTTAACACTTAGAATAGATCCAACTTTGTTAACAATGAGTTCTACTTTACCTTATACATAATCTTAAGTAAGTTTTTAAGATAAAAAAGAGCAAATACCTTTAATCGTTGTGAAATAGAATCAAAAATCAGTTTAATTCCATCTTGAGTTAAGTTGATAATGAGGTCCATTGTAAGAGGATTCTGTGGAGTACAAGAACATTCACAACCAGCAGTTTTTAAATAGTCAAATACAACATTTGAAATTATGCACAAACATGAAATTACATTTTTTTGGATACATCAGTGCATTATTAACAATGTTATTTTTGAATTAAGCATCTGTGGTAAACCAACACTTTCTGGGTTACATACTTATTTTGATAGTTTCATTTCTACAACACTCTAATGTTAATTCACTAAAAGTTTTAGTTACTCAAGTTTACTTACAGCTTTTGTGTAGATATTCTTTGTTGGACAAAGAAATAAGTCAAAGTAAAAATTTCTTGAAACATACTGAGTTTAATCGTATTGAAATTAACCATGATGAATAAGTTAGCTTCCCCTAAATTTTAAAAGAGTTTGATATTTCCATGAAACATTTAATTAATATGTGCAGGGCAATAGCCTCAACAGCTTACTAAGATGATTCCTTATGGAAAAAGATTTTCTACAACTTCATACTGGCTTCAGAATGAAAATATTTTAGTTTTTACAAGGATGTGATTCCAAAGCATAAACAGTCATTTTTCAAGTTATGTATTCTTGTTGTGTGAAGGAACATGTAGAAGTCACCAAAAGATGCTTATTTACTCATACTGTAAAAAAGAAAAGCACAATCCAATAAAATGTGAGAATACATTTAACATTCTTCAGCCTGTTTAACACTCGTCAGATAGTGGAGCTGAGGATAAGCAGCAACTAACGACTTGCTAGAGTCTGGTGATTTCTAATTTGCAAGCCAGCTTTGAATCAGCAGAAACTGGTTCATCCAATTACATAAATTTTTTTGACAGCTAAGCATTACAGTTTAAATCTAGGATACAATCTATTGAATTTGTATTACATATCACATAAATTTGTTAAAAATTAGTCAGTTAATTAGTTATACTCTTATTGTTTCTATGTTAAACTTTAAAAGTTTTAAAATATATATATAAATCTTATATTGATTATTTTAAATTTTGTAACAAAGTATAAGAGAAAATCTTTAAACAACAAACAGAAAATAAAGTTTCATATGGTCCTTCAAAATTACCTTTAATAAGCAGTTCCAATTCAGTGGCTACTGCTTTTAGTATAATAAGCCTTAATCATTTCATCTTCTACTATCATGATTGTAATAAATAACTGAACACTTTACTGCTATAATAGAATTTAAAACTTAATATTGACTAACAATGCACACAGCTTTACAAGTTTGTACTGTCAAGATTATAATCCTCTCAAAAACATTTGTGTTCTCATTAATCATATACTACTTGTTTAGAATAAAAGAACAAATGATAATTTCATAGATATTCATGTAAATTTGACTCTTCAAACCATGAGGGTTAGCAGCTCTGTACTAAACATCAGTGACTGCCAAACAATTATCAATAATAAGACAGCACATATTGATTTTATTATGAACTTCAACTAAAATTTTCAACAATCAAATACATTCAATATCTACTACTCACAGAATAAATTAATTTTATATATTATGAGCTTCCTATTACAGATAGAAGCTCTCATATCAAATTTCCTTTTTTAGCCATCTTACTATCCTTGAAATGAAAAAGTTACTAATTTACTTAGACTTCTAAGGTAAGTATAAATGAATTATTCTATCAAGTCTTATTATTTTCAATACTGAATTTAAATCTATGTTATACAATAATATTTCTGTTCACTACAAAAAATACAAACTACTTTTAAATTCTCCAAATTAATTCATGCCTTTACTGAGAAGTAAGTAACCTCAATATATAATTGGATAATTTAAACCTTGTATCATGTGTGTCACACACACACACACATTCAGATGAAGCAATACACATTTTTTAAATCTTTTAAGCTTTTGTCAAAGGCTCCACCATACCATTCATTAATCAATAAAATATTTTTAAGCTTAATTCAATGCTGTCAGTTCTACCTCTACAGCTAAAATTTAAACTAAAATGATTTGAAAACAAACAGGGTGTAGCAGTATTATCTTTCAATCACATGCACATGCTTATCTGTTTTGTGCAGTAGCTTGAAAACATATGTACAAATAAAATTCAACAACAATGTACATATATAACACTTAACATAAACAAACATTTCTTGGTACTTTAAATTAGAGGAACAGATTTTTGTACAAGTAATCTATTATGAAATTTTAGACTTGCAGCATTCATTCAATCTGAACAATGCTCATTAGCTTTTCCTTCCTGCATAGTGTATTAAATTTCTTTTATAAAATTAGCTAGCTTTCATATACCTGACACTACATGTAATTATTAAGAACAGTTTCTGAACAAAATAATAGCAATTATTTGAGGACAAGCCACTCATAAACCACAGGTTAATCTAAGAAATAAGTATTATTAGCAACGGATTAATTCATAACAAATGTTTGTTGTTGTTGTTGTTGCTGTCAAACTAGTATTCATAAGCATTATTATTGTGAATAATTGGGTAATGTTACCGAAAGACTTAACTGTAAGTACCTAAAGGTAAAGGTACACTTGCTTTTCATGGGAAATAAAATTTTTGTACAGGTGGATACATGACAGATTATGAACTACTAATCTTTCAAACAAAAACATTAAATCATGTGCTCTTACTGGGGTACACGGACATGTCTATTCTGGTTATCATTTTCTTCAAGGTGTAATTTTTTTAACGAAAAAATTCACTATAAAAACGTTGAGAAAGAAAAAACAAGCCAAAATTTGTTTCTCCTTAAGAGTTTAAATTAACAGTTGTTAAAAATACTTTTATACAAATTTATATACCTTACACTAGGTTTAACAAATAGTGACATCTAGTCATACATTGTACATGTATTGATGAATCACATAAAACTTCTAATCACATTTTACTTACAATGCACTAGAATTAAGGGCAGTTTGACAAAAAAAAACTACAGCAAAGAAAAGCATTTAACAAGTTGGACAAGTTCTAAACCAATAATCAATGGTGGCTGAGCATGTAATCTAATTTCCATAGCAATACATGTAAATTATAATTATATGCAGGAAATAATCAATAAAATGGTAATTTAAAGTGAGCCATCATTGAGTCACTGATATTTTATGCAGAAAAAAATTTCATGATAAATTCTTAAGTCAAAGAATCTGAAGACAGACCTAAAACGAAAAGTCAGTGCAACAAGTAAAAAAATCAATCACAGTTTCACAAGGTAAACTCAGAGGGTAGAAAGTATATGTACTTAAATTAAACAAGGAGAATAAGATTATGTTAACATTTACAGCAATAAAAAAGATCAGCACTGATACATATATTAAAGTTTTCAAATCTATCATTTGGAAAATGATGAGGAAGCAAAATCTTTTCATGCATACATTCCAGTATGACAAAATTTTAAACCATTTGTTAGATATGTTTACATAGAACAACAGCTTCATACCAGATATCAATGATTACCAAACAATTACAAATAAAAAACTATGGTACGAGATACGCATTCCAATAATTCCTGATAAAATCTCGACACTTCAGTACCTATAAGCAGACACCTGACAATCAGCATTAGACATATACAATCATAACACACAAAGCAAAATCATTAATTAACAGTGACGAAAAATTTAAAACTTGTAGCACTTCTGTAATATCAACTATTAATAGGTAAAAGTTAGAAGTAATCAGACACTGACAGATATTTCAAAAATTTCAGTAGTAACCAATTGCAAGATATTTATGAACAATTCTTCTGCATGCCATTTATCTCCTCAAATTTACACTCCAATTTCTTTAAATAATACAACTCTAACAAAAACTGAAATCTGATTAAAGCCAAGTAGACAGAATACCGTTACATATGATCTAAATACTACACATTTACAGTATTTCATAATTATAGCTTTGAGTAATTTGTACCACATACCTACAGTACTAAACAATTATAGCTATAAAAGTCATTTGTACCACATATCTACAGTATTAAACAATTATAGCTATAAAAGTCATTTGTACCACATATCTACAGTATTAAACAATTATAGCTATAAAAGTCATTTGTACCACATATCTACAGTATTAAACAATTATAG